TCGCTGCAGTTTCTCCTTCCAGTCTATGCTAGTTTTTTGTTGACATATACAACCTAAATACGTTTTTCAGAGTGAATTCAGTAGGTGATAATTTTCTGAGGCCTCACATGGCCAGCAAGAGCTTTGCTTTGTCCTCCCAAAGAATGTGACCTTGGCTGGGCAGAGGACTCTAAGTTCAAAATACTTCGCTCCAGGACTTTGAAAACACGTCCACAGTTGTCCAGCCTTCAGTGTTGCCCATCAGAAGCCTGGGTCTGCCTCCTCCTCATCCTCCTCTTAAGTGGTTTAGAAAAAACAAATTCTGTGACTGTTTATAAGGGCACTGAAAAAGATCTGGGATGGTATTAGTAATTAACAGTGGATCTCATTGAAGGTGGAAGTGAAAGAGAACCATAGAAAATGTATCCATGGTTGATAAGAATATAAAAAAGTTAGAACCTTGGGGGTAGTTGATACTAAAGCAGGGGTGGGGAACATCCAGCCCACAGGCCATATAAGGCCTGCAAAATCATTTCGTCTGGCCTTGCCAAGGCATTAAGGGTTAAGTTAATTAAATGTTAGACCAAATATAGCAGGCTAGTTTTTAAGTGGATAATTCTGCATGGCCCGTGAGTGATGTTATCAATATCCAAATGGCCCTTGGCAGAGAAAGGGTCCCCACCCCTGTCCTAGCATATCAGTTCCCACCCCGAGGTGCCTCAGCCACTTCATCTAGAGACCTCTTCTCCCTGGCTGGGTCCGGGGATGAATTTCACATGCAGCAGTCCGTGAAGGGGTGGAAAGGGAGCTATATCTTTTGATGAGTCTCACCGCTGGCCACCGCACCACTCATCCTCTTCGCTCCTCCACACAGCTCCGAGCTGGTGTACTCCAGCCCTCGGATAGAAAACCGCCTCACCTCTTCCGTGGGCTCCTTCACTCCTGGTGGGGTTGTTTCCCTGTCAATCCGATGCTACTCCTTAAATTGCCTGCAGACCCTTCACTGTCTCTTGCCCGCCTGCGGCAACCTTCCCTCTTTTCCAGCACTGCCACCCATTTGCTTGGTGAGTATTTATGGAGTGCCTCCTGTATGCAGGTAGTGTGCGAGGCCCCAGGCGCCAGTGGAGACCCAGGCCCTGGCCTCACAGAGCAAGGCAGGGACCGTCATCACACCTGTGGCAGGAAACTGTGAGAAGTGCCCTGAGGGAGCCGATGGTGCTGAGAGGCGGAGGGGTGGGGGAGGGAGCCTCCCAAGCCAGTGTGGTTCTTGGCCGCCGCTTATCCGAGGAGAAAAGAATAAGTACATGGAGAGAGAAGAACGTTCCACCCAGTGAAAAGGCTCTGAGGCAGGAGGGATTGAAAGCCGAAGGGTCGCGTCGGATGTAGTGAGTGATGGAGGCGACGGGAGGGATGAGTAATGTGAGGAGGAGAGGCAGGCGGCCCTCCCCTCTGTTAGATGCCAGGGCTCAGCCGAGGACGGACAGGTCTATCAGTGAGCATGACAAACCAGGCCCTGCTGAGGAGGCCTGCACTTGAGATTTTCTCTTCTCTCTCTCTCTGTGTTAATGGTTTTATCAGGGCATGATGATATGACATAAGAATGACCCAGCTGTAAGTATACAACTCAGTGATTTCAAATAAATTTACTGAGGGGTGTAACCATTTCCCTAATCCCGTCTTAGAGCATTTTGTCGCCCCAGAGAGAAAATGCTATTTCCGGTTAGTGTCCTGGTTTGCAACATACACTGACGTGAACTGAGCTTTCCTTTTCTAGGCCTTGCAGCTGGGACAGGTGTGCCCTTCTCGGAGGTTGTGAAGTTCGCCCCAAGCCCCAGATTAGCTGCTACCCCGAGCCCAGGAGCTGCTCAGGTGAGAGACCGTCAGAACTTGCTTATAGCGTTTGCACTGTGAAAACCATCCGGGTTCTCCCCTTGCCCTCGCAAAAGGTAAGTTTTTCTTTGTCACCTACGTTAAAGTCAAGGAACCAGAGCAAAAGAAGCCGGGTTGTCAGCTGAGATTCACAGATACCAGTGACTGCTGATTTTACAGCCTCAGGGGTCAGAGAGAGTGCTGGGCACATCTTCATTGTTCCGTGTGCCTCAGGGCAGGCCCTTCCGTTTCACCAGTCACAGAAGCCACAGAAAGACTGTTGCTGAAGCACAGGGCTGCCTAGCACTCAGATCTGAAGTCTGGATCCTAGACAGCCGAGCAGTCCCTCAGGCCAGGAAATCCCTGTGTGTTGGCCCCCACGGTTATAGGTTAGGTTCCCGGGAAAGCAGACTGTCAGATGTCGATAAAGGATGCCGGGGACTTAGGAGGGGCTACTCTTGGGACTCTAGTCTGTGGAAGGGAAAGGAGGAGGTGAGCTGCAGGGCAGTCCCAGTGGAGCCCTCAGCCGTCCCTACAGGAACTTCGGAAGCTGGGATGACCCTTTAGAGTTTTACCCAGTTGGGGTCTGCCAGGCCTTTAGACTCCATGTCAGCCAGTCATTCCATGCAGGCTGCAGGCCATCCCAGGATGGGGTAAGGCAGCCCTCCATGGCTGAAGCCACCCCCAAAGGGAACTGTCTGCTGAGGGCTGGGGAGTAAGCCCTCCGTTTCTGAAGGGCAGTCTGGGTGGTCTGCCATAGCATGGACCCCACCGCTGTCCTGTTTGCAGAAGGTCCTTGCAGCCGAGGGGCAGGGCGGTGCAGGCAAAGGGCTTTATTATTCACGGGGGTCCAGCGGGCAGCGTGAGCTTCATGTTTCCTTCATCCTGAAGGGTCCTGGGGTGATTCGGAGTGGGCCCAGGTGGATACTGTGCCCGCACTGTGTCTGTGTCACAACGGAGGGACCCTGAGCTTAGACACTTGTAACCTTATAAAGGAGTGGCAAGAGATGCTGTCCAACCTTTGCCCCCAAAGGAGACACTATCTTTGTTATCCCAGGTGGCAAAAAAATGTTCCTTCTGCCCCCAGAGGGTGACACTATCTGTGTCTTCCAAGGCTGCTGTATAAACGTCCTTGGAAAGATGGTGGGGAACAAAAGCTGTGACATGTAGAAACATCACTGAGTATTGTTCCCAGCATAGTTTGGAAGCAGAAGCTCATACTTTCCAGGTGACAGGGTAACCCACATACATAGATGTACCCAAGATTTTATTTACTACTAGAGGCCCAGTGCAGGAAATTCATGCATTGGGCCGGGGGGAGTGGGGGGGGGCGCGGCATCCATCAGCCCGGCATGTACCCTCTCCAATCTGGGACCCTTTGGGCGATGTCTGACTGCTGGCAGTCGGACATCCCTCTCGCAATCCAGGACCGCTGGCTCCTAACTCCTCGCCTGCCTGCCTGCTTGCCTTCCTCATCGCCCCTAACGACTCTGCCTGCCTGCCTCATCGTCCCTAACCGCTTACCTACCTGCCTGATCACCCCTAACTGCCTCTGCCTCAGCCTCTGCCACGGCAACTTCGTCCAGAAGGACATCAGGGATGATGTCTGGAAGGTCGTTCAGCATATTACGCTTTTGTTATTATAGATTGTGTGTCCTTGTGTTTAAGAGACAGCTCAGTGCAGAAGAAAGATCCTACATTGAGATAAAGGAGCTTTGGGTTCTGAACTTATTCTGCCTCTCCTCCACCATCTGACCCTCATGTGACCTTGAGCAGCACTCCTCCTCTCTGAACCTCTGTTTCTTCATCTGTGAATCGGGGACAACATCTGTCCTGCCTACTTTTAAGTTGCCAATTGTGAGGCTTAACGAGCAGCCTTGAGAATCGTGGCTTTATTATATAACAGGAGGTCTGAAGGTCATTGCCAGTGTTGGTTCAATGGTTCCACAGTGTCAGGGCCCTGCGCCACGATCCCTGAAGTTCTCCAGATCAGCAGTGGACAATGAGAACCTCATGAGAGCCACCTGGGTCATCTAAAAATTTCCAGTAGTCTCATTTTTTAAAAAGGTATAAAGAAAGAAATGGCAACTTTTAATAATACTTTACTTAATCCAGTAAGTCCAAAATATTGTCATTTCAACATGTAATCATTAAGAAGAAGTGCTAATGTGATATTTTGCTCCTTTTGTGTCTGGAGCTTCTGAAATCTGGTGTGTGCTTAGAGCACTAGCTGCATCTCAAGCACACACAGGCCCAGATGGCTTGTGGCTCCCGTATTGGATCCTGCAGCTCTAGACGTGTCCCAGATGGTGGCAGGGTGTCTGCAGCTGCTCCAAGCACGTGTCTCCCACCACCACACTCACTGGGCAGAGTCTCTCCTCACACACTTCTCAAGACATCCTGGTCTGTTCCCCTCAGCTCCCCAGCAGCCTACGACTTGGTCACCTGGCCAGCCGTGGTTGTAAGAAAGGCTGTTGCAGGGTCTGGCTCTTTCATCCTCTCTAGGATGCAAGGAAGCAGGTAGGTGGGGAAAGCTAAGGAAACAGGTAGTAAATACTGGTGTGCGGCCACGCCCCCTGGCTTGCGCATGGCCGGTCACTCATAGCTCGTGGAACTCTTTACCCCTAAAACCAAGTGCAACCTCAGAGTCCTGCTCAACACCAGGCTGCAGGCAGTGACAGGTCTCTGACTGTTGGCATAAGTGACGTATTTGCGGGCTGGATTGGAAGTTCCTGGAGAACAGGGTGGCAGCCCGTTGTCTCTCTGTGCCTCAGGAGGGCTGTGCTGTAGTGGAAATTCAAAACAGTAACAGTGTTGAGTGTTTTCTCTCTGGGCTTAGCTGAATGTTGCAGTTTCTTTCCTGGAGAGGAAATCGGGGAGTCCTCACTTCTGCTTGTGTTCGCAGACAGAGCTGCCCTAGCTGCACCAAGAGTAGGCCCTCATTGCACAGTCAATTACCGAAGTGCTTGACTTGGAGCTGATGAAGCCAAATGAGGCAGGACTGGGGCTGGCTGGAACTGGTGGGGTGTGTGAGTCCCAAGGAAACTGGTCCTTTGGTCTTAAGCGTTGGTTGTCTGTAAGGTAGCGTGCGCTCGTATGGAGCGTGCCATTTTTCAGGCCAGGCTTGTGGAGCCACAGGAGAAAACAGCTTTAAAAAAACGAATAATGGGTCTCCTACTGGGGATGTGCTCGCAACCCAGGTACATGCCCTTGACCGGAATCGAACCTGGGACCTTTCAGTCAGCAGTCCGATGCTCTATCCACTAAGCCAAACCGGTTTCGGCATGGAGTTTATTTCTTTGCGGTTCTTTTTCCCTGGTTGGTTTTTAGGTTTGGGTTTATTATACAGCATACTGTACACATAATTTTGTGTGTATATATATTATAATTATATATAAGACATATGTATATGTAATATAATAATTATATGTATGTAATACACAAACATATATAAAATTTGCATCACCACATAGCTATTTACATTCTTAAAAATGCACATACATGTTATCTTTAATGACTGCATAATATTATCTCTGGCTAATGAGCCATAATTTACTTGAGGATTTTTCATGTCTTAGAGCAGTTGCTTCTAATTTTTCAAATATTATCATCAACTCTATGTGGGTAAAGGGTTAACGAAACCTTTTTTCTATTCTGTTAGCTTTCTAGCTCTGTTTCCTTTGAGGCTCAATAAACTGGAATGGATACAGTGTGGTGGCTTCTCCTGGGCATGCCGAGGGAGTTGTTGCAAGAGATGCCTCTGTGGGACATGAAGTTTGAAAGCCCGGGTGGTTCTTGCACCTGCTCTTGCACCTGTGCATTCTATCTCTTTGCACCTGAGCTACAACCTGGAGGGAAAGGAAGGGAGAAGGCAGGGAGGCTAAGAGCCCCTTTTCTGGGCATCCATGCGAACTGCATGCCCCCTATATGGCCTCTCATTGAAGAGGGCCCCTGCGGTCACTGTGCCGGCGGCTGTGTTTCCCCAGTGTATCCTCTTGAGAGCCAACGTGTGGCTCATGCTAGTCGTATGAGCCTGAATGTTCTGTGGTGTCTAAGGAGACCTTTGGTGGGCCTGTCACCCTACATTTAGGATTATTGCCTTAGGAGAGCTTTGCAGAAGTAGAATCGCTGGGTCAAAGGCTTACGGGCATTTTCAAGCTCCTTGAAACAGGCATCAAGTCAAGTTGATTCCCAAAAGGGTTGCACCAGCAGCTTCCACCAGGTGTGCAAGGAGACAGCCATATCCCAGTCTCTTCACCCGAATTTGTTTTTTAATTGTGTAGATTTGATAACAGAAATCGGCTTCTTGTCATAGTTTGCATTTAAAAAACATTTTAAACTCCAGGTTTGAGAAGCAGTAGCATTCCCCTTTTTTTAATGGTTTGACGCTTCCTTTCTTTTGCCCGCCAAGAAAATTAAATGGCAAGTAAATGGGATGTAAAGATTTTAAATTTCGAGATGCAAAGAGATGGAAGAGGCCCCTCCCCTTTCTCTTCTAAACTGCTCTTTCTGCCCCTGCAGGTCTACGCTGCCCTCCTGCCAAGGTACGCCCAGCTCGAGCAGAGAATCCTGTCCCAGCCCCAGGGGCTTCCGGAGTGAGTCCTGCAGGTCCGGGCGCCTGTGGACCCTGCCGGCTCCGACTCGCTGACCCCACTGGGAGACGTGGCCCTGGACAGCAGGGACCCTCTTCCCTGTTCTGGGTGCCTGGCCCCTGGCCCCTGATGGGCTCCAGCCCTGTCCCGGGCCACCTGGAAGCCTGTCTCGCACACCTTCCTGACATCAGCGGGCTGCTTGTGTCCCTGTGTGCTGTGCTCAGGGCAGGAGAGCATCTCTTCCCTGTCTTCATTTCAGGAGGCAGGATAACACGGAGCCTGGGGTATCTCCAATAAAGACTAACATTTTCCTTTCTTTTTTAAACTATATTTTAATTGATTTCAAAGAAGAAGGGAGAGGGAGAGAGAGAGATAGAAACACGAATGATGAGAGAGAATCATTGATCGGCTGCCTCCTGCATGCCCGCTACTGGGGATCGAGCCCACAACCGCAACCTGGGCATATGCCCTGACTGGGAATAGAACTGTGACCTCCTGGTTCGTAGGTCGACGCTCAACCACTGAGCCACAGTCAGCTGGGCCGAGATTTTCCTTTGCAAAGGCAGAAGTAAATCTAATCCAAGGAACTAAATCAGCAAAACAGGGAAGAGAATGCCATCCCATAAACCTTGACCCCAGCCCATCCTCTTCTCCAGTCCTGACTCTCTGGCCACTTGGAAAATTGTCTCAGAACGACCAACTACAAAGTATCCTAGCTAACTATTACACGTTAAAGGAGAAGATGAGGGGTGTGGGGTGTCTCTAAGCCAAAAGACCTAGTTTTTTACAAGAAAAGATCAGGTTGGTATCAGACATCTCAAAGAGTAAGTAGCAGTGGAACAACATTTTTAAGAAACTCAAACTAAAAATATGAAATAAGTGTTTAATACCAACTAAGCTGCCCAAGTATCAAGGATAATTTTTAAGAAGTTTTATTCATGCAAGAGCTCAGAAAGTAACCCCTTGCGATTCTACTAAAAGACAAGCTTCATCCAACGAGGAGATGATTGGTGAAACTAAAGCACAAAGACTGGTAATGATCATTGAATATCTTTAATTTGGGATAAAAGACCAAAATGAAAGTGGGGATAAGGGTGGAAGAATAGCACTAAATGGTATACGGTTTGACAAGATAGAAGTGACACAACTAAGTGAATGAAAAAGGAGGGAGAGGACCGTACGAAGAGCTCTTCGTTGCAAAGGCAATATGTGTGTCAGTATCATTTAAAGTTGACAGGCCAAATAGTTATATATAGTGAGCATTATATAAAGGCAATAGTGTATGGTATTAAAGGTAATCAGTAGGATAAAAATAGGCGTCTCCTTCAATGTGCACACACACAATAATACAGGGGACAGAGCACATAGTGAGTCATAAAGATCACACATTAACCAGCGAAGAAAACAGGAAAAAACAGAATTAATAAATGAACAGTATTTTGAGTATTTGAAAAAAATCAAAATAGATAAACTACTAGGTAAAAAAAGGGGAGAAAGCAATAACACAAAATAAAAATAGTGAAAAATTAACGTTGAAACAAAATTTTTAATTTTAAGAACTGCTTCGCACAACTCCGCAAATAAATTTGAAAACCTAGAAGAAATGGTAAACACCTAGGAAAATAGGTAATTTACTAAAATGACCCCAGTAGTGACAGAAAGTTCAAGCAGACTAATTTTCATAAAAGAAATGGAAAAGATTATAAAAGAACTACCCTATAAAAAAAGGCACTAGGTTAGATGGGGTCACAGGGGAATTTTACTAAACCTTCATAGACCAGTTAATCCCTATGCAACAGGATGTATCCCAGAACCCTGGAAAAGAAAAAAGAGCTCTTCCAGATCATTTTTATGAAGCGAATATAACATTGACCTCTATACTAAGTTGCAAACGCCCCCATTCTTCACTTCTCTCTATAGCCATGTATTTTGCTATGGAATTTTGTTACGCTCTCCTCTCTGAGCTCAGCTCTGCGAGTTTGGACAAGGGGATTTTCACAAGCATGATGTAAGCCAGGGCTTGGAAAGCCCTGATGCAGTTGGGATTGCTCTCGCTCTGCTCTCTGCCTTTTTCATGAAAGTCTCGTGCCTAAGCTAGCCTGACCAAAGCCCTCCTGAATCAGCCAGGGCGTGACTGACTGTCCCGTCATGTGAGTCCAGATGAGACCTGAAGAAATGCCCAGCAAGCTCAATGTACATCACCAGCCTACAGATTCATGAGCTAAGTAAATACGATTTTAAAGCGTGGAGACTACAGTGATTTATTACACAGCAATAGATAACTGATACAAAAATTGGTGCCAACACAAAAAGGAAATAAGTGTGACCTTGAAACTGGGCTGTGGTGGAGAGAGGAAAAATGGTGAAAAAATCCTTACAGGAGTCTGAGAAAAATGCAAGGTAACTGAGTACCCAGGTAACGTGGAGGATAGAAAGTTGACCTACTGGACATCTGGGCTTGAGAAAAGAAATTTCTAAGCAGAATGTTGAAAGTGTCAAACTAGCCAGATTTAAAGTAGAATTTAGAGGGGATCTACAGATGCTAGAATGAAGAAAATAACTTTCTCATCTTCGCCCCTTTAAGCCAAAAGAG